GAGTAAAGATTATGTAGCTTAAGCATGATTGTTCGTAGTTAAAGAGATTAATTACCCACCTGGCACTTAGTGAAGGGGTTTTATTCCCTCCTTGTGCACACTTCTATTCTAGAGAAGACAATAGGTGGCTTCCCACAGGGGGGCTCCACTCCAGTGCCCCCTGATTCCCAGCACAGGACCTGGTCTCAGGATGGTGGCCACAGCTGCAGAACAGAGATATGTTTCAAGAAAAGTTGGAAATGCAGAATTTTGTATGAGCCCCTATTCCAAAAGGTGACAGTTTATTCACATTGTGGCAAAGACACCTTCAAGAGTAACATAAGTGGGTAAAGTCAGGGCCAAATTGGGCCATTTCCTCATCCAATCTCGCTAACGCATGTGGACAGAACCAAGTCTCAGCTCTTAGAAGGACACTTCTGGGGTGTTTTTTAAGCCTAAAGGACAGTAGTCTGTCTCCATTCTTGTTCTTTGGGATTTTTTTCATCGTTGGATAAGAGGATACATACATTGGGGCAATCCTCTCGAGATACAATATTCCAGTTGCACCCATATGATGACGACAGCGCCACTTAGAGGGAGGAAGCCGACAGATGGAGAACAGGGAATTCTAAAAGCAAAAGCAATGACACAGATGCTAAGCCTTTCCTTCACGCGTCTGAAACCCATCCTTAGGCAGCCTTCAGGCTGGGCGTCTGCTGGACCTTTACCACTTGATGTCCTGGCAGGCTCCCCTGGGCCCTGCTAGGCAGTGTGCAGGTCCGTCTGGGCCCGGGGGCAGTCCACCCCGCCAGCCACTCCTGGCACATGGGAGCTGGTCTCCGGGGGCCACACCGGGATGGCAGTGTAGATGCCTTCCATCTGCCGCAGCAGTGCCCTGTCTGCACGCCTGTCCTCCGCCTGGTCCTGACCCCTGTTGCTTAGGCATCCCCAGTGCAGGCTAGGACCTCCACGAAGTGTCAGGGGAGTTTGCTGCTCTACAGCTTCAGTATCACTTCTATATCTTCCAAAAGCCATAAGCAGCCTCAAAGCATAGTAGAATTTCTCCATCCCTTTCAAGGGTGACCGCCTGGAAGTCTTTGTTCATCAGGGTGCAGTAGGTGAGCACCCCCATGTCCTTGTTGAACAGCGCTTTGGCCATGTGCCTGAAGATTTGTGCCTGGTACCCGCCGGAGCTGGCACCCTCGTGGAGCCTTACCTCCTCCTCCTTCATGTCTCCAAACAGAGTGTCCATGGCGGTGTCATTCAAGGCAAGGTCACTTTGCTCCATTATCTGGACAATTTCACCTGAGGTTAACATGCAGTCAGCACCCTGGGAACTATGCAAAGCTGTGGGAAAATCTTCTCAAAGGGCCTCCAAGTTCTTGTCATAACATGGGCCACAATGACTTGGAAAATCTTGTCTGTGCCTGGGGACCGGTTCTCCAATCTGGTGAGGTAATCCTACACCAGAGAGCCCATGATCTGCTGGGGAGACTTGGCCATGCAGAGGTGGGGGATGATGGGGTGACCCAGCACACTCTCTGCATATCAAACTTAGCCAGAGTAGGCGGAGGTCAGCATGGATAGCCGGGGCTCTTCCTCACAGTGCTGGCAGTACCGACGCACAAATTCCTTCTGAATCTCTAGAATGCTGAAGTCCGCAGCTATCTTCATGTGAAAGACAGTGTACCCCAAGGCTTTTGAGTAGCCACAGAGCCTTCTGGATGCATCAGCGACACTCAGGCTGAATTTAGCAGCAAAATAAGGCAGAGACTGAGGACACATGACACTGCCAGCACCTTGTGTTGTGAGGTATCACATTTCTTATTAAGGTTCAGAACACAGAAGAGGTCTGTGGTGTTCTGATGAGAAACTTGGACTCCCTCCTTTGTGGTAACACAACGGTCACACACCAGGCAGTCACTCAGAAACATGTTGGCATTGTCCAACTTATGGAATTCTCTCTTCTCTCCCTTCTCCTGAGCCGGACTCCGGACATTGACTGCGGCATTCTCTTGGTCATTGGTTTTTGTTTTTTTACTACATTCCTTCCATGTGCAGTGCTCACACTTCATCTGGAGCGGGGCAGGTAGGGGAAAGCAGTCACCTTTGGTTGCCCCTGGCACTGCTGGCAGTATCCTTTCTTCCTTGTGGAGCATTTAGGGAGGGAAAGTGGCCACAGTGCTCGAGGCTGAGTTCCAGGAGGCTGGCAGTGCTGTCGGGATAGTGCCGGTGGCGTTAGTTGGTTGGCGCCTGTCCTGTCCTCTAGAGATTGAGCCTGCAGGACTACTAAGGGAGCCAGTCCCCAGTCTCACCCTGCCTCCACTACCAATTGATTGGAGTCTGAGGGCCTGGAGGAGGGACCAAGAGGTCTGCTTTTTAGTTGCTTCCCTGTCGCCACTGCCAGCCACTGCCACCGATTGATTGGACCCCAGTTCCCCTTTTAGCCATCCCCTGATCAATTGGAGCCTGACGGCCAGGGGGATGGACCAGTTTTGTATATATAGATTCCCTATACTATACTTTACATCCTCATGACTATGTTGTAACTGCCAATTTGTACTTCTCAATTCCTTCACCTTTTCCACTTACCCTCCTGACACCCTCCCATCTGACAAACATCAGTTTGTTCTCTGTATCTATGAGTCTGTTTTATTTTGTTTGCTCATTTATTTTGTTCTTTAGATGCCACATAAAGGTGAAATTGTGTGGTATTTGCCTTTCTTTATCGGACTTACTTCACTTAGCCTAATATCTCTAGGCTCATCATAAAAAATTCTCAAAACTCACATATACATTGTCATTAATCAGTGCAATAGCTACATACCAAACTACCCTTTTACAACTTTGTCATGAAACCTGACAGCTAGAGAGCACCTGAAATTCTTTTTTAATAAATGGAAAATAATCTTCAGCTATTGAGTGTTGTGCAGTGTAAAAGCATAGACCTTTGAGTAATAAGTCTTGCCCATCATGTTATTCAACTGGGTTGTTTGAAATCTGACCTAAAGGGTCTTTTCTATTCAGAGTGACATCTCAACTGTCCTCATGGCCCCACACTTAAGGGCACATTTTCTGTCTGTGCCGCTCAGCACCAGCTCAGCTCTACAACTACTTCTTATGAGCCCCCTTCATACCACCCCAAGGTAAGTTGCATACACAATCTGGCATTCTTCAAAGTGCTTTCTGAGCTAAGCTGCAGACCTCCACACATGAAAGCTGCCATTTGTTTTTAGTGCCTTTGTCAAGAGCAGGAAGAATTACAGTGGGAAAGATAAGAACACCCCCTCCCCCCCACCACCACCACCACCGCCACTCCAAGAAGTACCTGTGGTCAGTGAGGAGGAAGAGGCTGATGACACTGAAATAGAAAGAAGGACCTCAGGGTCAGGTAAAGGAAAGCACACCCCACTCATGACACCAGCACAAAAGAGATCTCATGGCAATTATGAAATCAATAGGATATACTATGGAACACAGCAGGCAAAGTGAGAGTGGAGTTTAATGTGTTATTGTTGTAATTTTAAAGATTTGTAATTTTACACAATGAAGATCTAAATTTTAAAAATGCCTCATGTTGTGGATAGGATTAAATGATTTTCACATTTCTCAATGATCCAATAAATAACTTAATAATACCACATTTTCTGTGTTTAATTGTGGACTCACAATGCCTCATAGAGTCCATGTATTTCAACTACAGTCATAACTCTCCATTATTGCAAATTTCACCAATAGAACCCCTATTCTGTTGATTCTTAAATTCTTTGGACATGACCTCATTAATTTTTGAAAGTTATCTTGCTTTCTGACACATAAAATGCTTATAATTTATTTTTATATTTTTCTGTAGGAAACCAGAATCAATTATTTCTTAAAGAAGTCATACTTATTTTTACTGAAAAAAATAGTCTGAGAAATAAGGATGTCTATATCTTAAAATTTTCATATGTAGAATGAGAATAGCACTACCTACTAACATTGACTTGTTAAAATAATTCAACAAAAATAATTCATATAAATTTCACTGCCCAGTGTCTGGTCCACAAT